GTGGGGCAGATGGACTGTTGTCTAGCATTCGGGATTGGTTGATCCACCCACTCACTCACATGCATGTGGTCAGTAGAATGTCTGTCTGGTGTGACACTGATTGTGGTATGAGTGAAATGTATGGATTGAGGCAGATCAACATGTCTATCCACAATGAGCATTGTTCATGCACTCTGGCTGGCTACATGAATATCGATCGACAGTATGTTTCAATAGATCATCCTCCAAACAATATGTGTTATACATTCGGTGTACGTATACTATTTATTGTTGTTATGATGGTGGTCCATCGACTGATGACTGTTGTTATCCAGCATGTTTGCCTGTTGCATCGACAGTGTGACTGCATATCACTGCGAGGTGTGATGTGGTCATCTCCACGATCGACAGATGAGGATGGAGATGTCAGGTGATGATTATTATTGATATTGTATTGTGTGTAATGAGTGTCATGTGAGGTGTGTGTGTGTGTGATCGTTGAATAATTTTGTGAGAAAGTAGACGGTTGTTTGTGAGTGGATTTTGTTTGACGTTGGTAGTTGGAGGTGTTGGCCAGGGCGGTCGTCCCGCGTGGTCTAGCGGTTAGGATTCCTGGCTTTCACCCAGGCGGCCCGGGTTCGACTCCCGGCGCGGGAGGGGTTTTACTTGACCACCCTGCTCCACAATAATCACACCCCAATATACTCTGACAAAGACATCGTGTGATGATTGTGGCTGGCACTGTGGTCTGTGGCTTGGTCGCACCAGCAAGCAGCACAGGCGTTCGCACACACGCCCCTAGTGTCCCACTCTCCACACATACCCATGTGCACGAGGCCTGGGCAGCACACGGGACACCCCAGTCACCTTACAGGGTCGTTGTCACGCTTCCACAACTGACGTGAAGGTGGCAGGCATGAGCAGAGGAGTGGTGTGAGACTCAGTGGGACCAGTGCTGACTGACATCCATCTGGATGAGTCATTTAACTCAACCTCAATTTGAACACACTCAATCGAGTGACTTTGAATAGTTAATCGACGCGACGAGTCGCACATTCACCTACACCAAACCTTCGAACGCCTAAAATAACCCAGCGGGCAGACACTTTGTGCGTACTTTGGGTGTTTCGGGTAATATCCCGCAAAAGTATTTCGGGTACACTTAGGGACATTCATCCACATTGCCAAAACATCCATAAATTTCTACGGAAAATTCCGAAATTGTCAAAGTGTCTGCAGTGCGCCCGAAAACTCCGATACACACTGATTCGTGGATTGCTACAGCTTCACAAACGCATGCAAATTATTCAACTTACATGGTTTGCAGTGGTGGGATCGATGTAGACTTTGGTCAACCCTAGCCCTGGTCTTCTGCGTGCTTGTGAAGAGTGGGCGTTCGCAAGAGGGTTGTAGGTGATATGTAGGCATCAGTGTGTGTGTGTGTGTGTGTGTGTGGAGACGGTGGGGATGGATTCCCATTTGTGAAGGTGTTGAGCAGACATGAATATGCAGTGGGAGAACACTAGCGATCTAGTGTCAGTCAGTATCAGGCCTAATGGCGAGCATTCCATCCAGGTAGTCCAGATAATCTGGTGTACTGGCTTCAATGTGTGCCTGCGTGTTGATAGACAGTTGGTTGATTGTCTATGGACTTATTTGTTCAGTGGAGATTGAGGAGTGTTGCGTGTTTGTGTTCATGCTTGTGTAGCAACTAGTTGTTGTTTCGCCTGCGACACAAGGAAGTGGATGTGACGGGGAATGAGGATGATGAGATATATTTACCGAGCATCGCCGGAATAGCTCAGCAGGGAGAGCGTTAGACTGAAGATCTAAATGTCCCCGGTTCGATCCCGGGTTCCGGCATTTAGCATCACATCTCCGCGATCATACACCTCAACATTCTGCGGAATTCAATCCAGCAAGATAAACACACACACTCACAGGCACACACACACACACATACTGCGATTCACTCTCAACACCACCATCTAGCCTCCAGCATCTCAATCGACATGACAATTCCTCGAAATCCTCATACAACTAACTCATCGCTCATGCTCATGCAAGCAAGCTGATTGGCGTCGGTTGATCGTCAGACTGGCTCTCCACTCATCGATCTCAAGAAGACGAGTCCATCTGCATGTTTCCTCACAATTCCACTCGACTTACCTTGTTATATCCAGTTCTCTGTCGATAAAAAATACTCAACGCATACATGCCCCCATCGCGTAAACTGCTCTTGTACAGTGTTTCACTTTCAGATGAAACGTTGTTTTGCCCTAGTCACCCTGGAAGATGCTTCAATTTGTGTATCACTGGTGGGTACATTCAGCTGATGTCGGGGCGAGAAGTAGTCCAATGGCTGTTAATCTTTGTTGCTTCGCTTCTCCACTTTTCAGGCTTGTTATGCATTCTGTTGGTGTCTACATGTCACCTAATGATGAGAAGAAAGGGGAGGTGGGATGATGATGATGTGGGGCAGATGGACTGTTGTCTAGCATTCGGGATTGGTTGATCCACCCACTCACTCACATGCATGTGGTCAGTAGAATGTCTGTCTGGTGTGACACTGATTGTGGTATGAGTGAAATGTATGGATTGAGGCAGATCAACATGTCTATCCACAATGAGCATTGTTCATGCACTCTGGCTGGCTACATGAATATCGATCGACAGTATGTTTCAATAGATCATCCTCCAAACAATATGTGTTATACATTCGGTGTACGTATACTATTTATTGTTGTTATGATGGTGGTCCATCGACTGATGACTGTTGTTATCCAGCATGTTTGCCTGTTGCATCGACAGTGTGACTGCATATCACTGCGAGGTGTGATGTGGTCATCTCCACGATCGACAGATGAGGATGGAGATGTCAGGTGATGATTATTATTGATATTGTATTGTGTGTAATGAGTGTCATGTGAGGTGTGTGTGTGTGTGATCGTTGAATAATTTTGTGAGAAAGTAGACGGTTGTTTGTGAGTGGATTTTGTTTGACGTTGGTAGTTGGAGGTGTTGGCCAGGGCGGTCGTCCCGCGTGGTCTAGCGGTTAGGATTCCTGGCTTTCACCCAGGCGGCCCGGGTTCGACTCCCGGCGCGGGAGGGGTTTTACTTGACCACCCTGCTCCACAATAATCACACCCCAATATACTCTGACAAAGACATCGTGTGATGATTGTGGCTGGCACTGTGGTCTGTGGCTTGGTCGCACCAGCAAGCAGCACAGGCGTTCGCACACACGCCCCTAGTGTCCCACTCTCCACACATACCCATGTGCACGAGGCCTGGGCAGCACACGGGACACCCCAGTCACCTTACAGGGTCGTTGTCACGCTTCCACAACTGACGTGAAGGTGGCAGGCATGAGCAGAGGAGTGGTGTGAGACTCAGTGGGACCAGTGCTGACTGACATCCATCTGGATGAGTCATTTAACTCAACCTCAATTTGAACACACTCAATCGAGTGACTTTGAATAGTTAATCGACGCGACGAGTCGCACATTCACCTACACCAAACCTTCGAACGCCTAAAATAACCCAGCGGGCAGACACTTTGTGCGTACTTTGGGTGTTTCGGGTAATATCCCGCAAAAGTATTTCGGGTACACTTAGGGACATTCATCCACATTGCCAAAACATCCATAAATTTCTACGGAAAATTCCGAAATTGTCAAAGTGTCTGCAGTGCGCCCGAAAACTCCGATACACACTGATTCGTGGATTGCTACAGCTTCACAAACGCATGCAAATTATTCAACTTACATGGTTTGCAGTGGTGGGATCGATGTAGACTTTGGTCAACCCTAGCCCTGGTCTTCTGCGTGCTTGTGAAGAGTGGGCGTTCGCAAGAGGGTTGTAGGTGATATGTAGGCATCAGTGTGTGTGTGTGTGTGTGTGTGGAGACGGTGGGGATGGATTCCCATTTGTGAAGGTGTTGAGCAGACATGAATATGCAGTGGGAGAACACTAGCGATCTAGTGTCAGTCAGTATCAGGCCTAATGGCGAGCATTCCATCCAGGTAGTCCAGATAATCTGGTGTACTGGCTTCAATGTGTGCCTGCGTGTTGATAGACAGTTGGTTGATTGTCTATGGACTTATTTGTTCAGTGGAGATTGAGGAGTGTTGCGTGTTTGTGTTCATGCTTGTGTAGCAACTAGTTGTTGTTTCGCCTGCGACACAAGGAAGTGGATGTGACGGGGAATGAGGATGATGAGATATATTTACCGAGCATCGCCGGAATAGCTCAGCAGGGAGAGCGTTAGACTGAAGATCTAAATGTCCCCGGTTCGATCCCGGGTTCCGGCATTTAGCATCACATCTCCGCGATCATACACCTCAACATTCTGCGGAATTCAATCCAGCAAGATAAACACACACACTCACAGGCACACACACACACACATACTGCGATTCACTCTCAACACCACCATCTAGCCTCCAGCATCTCAATCGACATGACAATTCCTCGAAATCCTCATACAACTAACTCATCGCTCATGCTCATGCAAGCAAGCTGATTGGCGTCGGTTGATCGTCAGACTGGCTCTCCACTCATCGATCTCAAGAAGACGAGTCCATCTGCATGTTTCCTCACAATTCCACTCGACTTACCTTGTTATATCCAGTTCTCTGTCGATAAAAAATACTCAACGCATACATGCCCCCATCGCGTAAACTGCTCTTGTACAGTGTTTCACTTTCAGATGAAACGTTGTTTTGCCCTAGTCACCCTGGAAGATGCTTCAATTTGTGTATCACTGGTGGGTACATTCAGCTGATGTCGGGGCGAGAAGTAGTCCAATGGCTGTTAATCTTTGTTGCTTCGCTTCTCCACTTTTCAGGCTTGTTATGCATTCTGTTGGTGTCTACATGTCACCTAATGATGAGAAGAAAGGGGAGGTGGGATGATGATGATATGTGTTTTGCGGACGCTTGTGAACTATGTGAATTTTAGGATTGTCCTGGTATTTTATTTTGGTGAGTTTTTTTGTATTTGCTTTTTGTCCTTTTTTTGTCTGGTTTTCTTCATGTTGTGTGTGGCCTTTTATTGCTTTTAGGGTGATTTCTTTTGATGTTTTGCGTAAATTTCTGTCGAATTTAATAATTTTCTCGTTTTTGAATGGGCACTTTTTACGATCTTCATGTCTCTGTTTACATTTTATATATTTCTCGTGTGCGGACTTTGCAGACGTTGAGACCAATTAGTAATTATTCCTGTAGGGATAGCACTCATGAAGTCTCTTGCACTCAGTTGTGTCATAGATAGTTATACCGAAAACTCAGTGAAAGCTTGTGATAATTGTTTACATTCATGTAAAATGCTGAGGATACCTGAATTATTCTCATGGCAGTATCCAGACGGCTCATGGTCGAGAATTCATACTGAATTTTCAGGACCGTATAAGAATTATAATTTCTAGTGGTTGTATATGCCTTTTCTAAATCACTTGATCTATTCAGTATGAATAGGACTATTACAAGAATGATAATGCACAAGCTATCGGAATTTTTTTAACCAACTTGGTATGACAGAAACTATAGTTTCAGATATTGGTGTCCAGTTTATATCTCATATATTCGTAGAGTTCTGCAAAGTCAAAGGAATAAATTATCGACGTACACCACCAACTTATCTTCATCTAATCGTCAAACTGAACGTTTCGTAGACATGTAGAAAATAGGTTTGTTGAGATTATAGGAGGATTGGAAAATCAAAGAAACACTTCACAAACTTTTGCTGGCAAATAAATCAACACTGAACCCCTTACTGACAAATCATACGTCACCTAAACAAGTCTTTTTTGACCGTAAACACCGAATTTTTGTGTATACTATGCTACTCAAAGTGAGCAAAAGAACAAGAAACTTATGCATACAGTATCACTTTAACGTGAAACAAGAAGCAAGTCTGCATCATTTAAACCAGGTGATAAAGTCGACGTGAAATCGTTCAAAGATGGAAAATCACATTGAGTGGTTAGGGAAGTATTAAAAGCCAGAGTTGATGAAGTATTTGAATTTGATGCGAGAAATTGCATGGTAGTGAGACATCTGAGTTAACTACATCCCAAATTGAATCAGGCTAGATATAATGATACCTAAGTGAGTTGATATATCGACATTCTGTTAGACACCTTCTCACTACTAACTTGGCACTTACACTAAATTTGTCATACTATCAAATCAACCAGGCTAAGAATACTTATCTGTAGAATAAAACCCTACCCTAGTTGTGCATAATACGAAGCAGTAGAAGCTTAGTAAGAGAGAGGAATATCATCACCTTAAACGATAAGAATAAGAAAAAAGCAACAGCAGTCAATCATCAGTGAGTAGCGGGATTAATTTCAATACCTTCCGTTGTTATTCGCCTTCCGGAGTGCTTACACTTTTCAGACCCTGTACATTTCCCATGTATTATTTATTGCAGGTCAGTGACATACACTTGACTTCTCGAGTTGGCTGGTGTAATATTAGTGGTAGTAGGAATGTGTTCGTGTGTAGCAGCCCTGGAAGATAATAGTCGACACAATCAACTAAAGTTAGGAAGAGAAATAGCAGCAACACCGTCAGGTCAAGAAAATAGCAGAGAATAACCACTCTTAGCACATCGTTGATCAGTTCTATGATGAATGAGTGGAAAGTATGGTGAATATTTGTCCTGAGTCGGTCGGAGCTTCGTGATGTAAATCTGTAAAAAATCTAGTGAATAAAACTGACTGAATAACTGAGAATTGTTAGTGCATCAAGATATGTGTCTTTTGACTTTATTTTTAACACCTTCAACTGTGACATTGTCATATTTTCTCAACCCTACAGGAGAAATTAGTCTGGTTAAAACCTGTTTTACAGTTTTGAAATGGTGAAAAATATTCGTAGTTGAGAATAGTGATAACGATGGTTTGACTTTTTCTGAGTATTCATATTTTGCATATACACAGAGAAATTGAGGCTCTCTGATATAATTCAATCTCTACTTCTGCAATTTATTAATTCCTGTATTTTACCTATTCTTCTGTATTGCTCCCCGTTGATTTTTCCTGGTCTATTAAATAAGGACAATGTTATATTGGGTAGGGCTTTGAAAGCCGTCAGTAGGGTGAGTGCTCTGGCTCAAGTGATTAACACTATAGTTAAGAGACATTTAAATTCTAGCAGGTAACTATTTACAGTAATTTTAACTGATACTGAGTATCCACTTCATTCACAGATCTCTCCTTGCATCTTTTCGTGGAAGACAAGAAGTTATATAAATAAGACTGTATGCTTGTACAGATAAGTACAAGAATTCGACTATACCTAATCTATCACGCATATTATATGAGGAAGAACGTGTTAGAACAAAACTCATTAATCAACTCTGCAACAGTTAACAATCTCTTTAGAGTAATTTTACTAACAGCGTAAAATCTTTTCGTTATTAGTATTCTTTACATTACTTAAATTCTTATAATAACGCCATTCAAAATGTTGTAAAGAAGTACAGATATACATAGAGTTTCGTTGTTGAAATGTATCATGCCGAGAATCCCGAACTGTACCAAAAATTGTTGGGAATAAAATGATTATTATTATTATTTTGAAAGCAAAGTGCTTTAGTCTGATTGGAATTAGGGGAACGTCAAGAGCCAAAACTATTCTACTCAACAACAGTCTTTGTAAACACATAAATGTTAACACCAAAGAATCTTACCATACAGACCATTTAAAAACAATCCGACTGGATAGAAGAGCGGAGAACAGTTTCAGAAAAATTGTATTGGTTATTATTATCAACGAATATGCTTGCAATTCTCCAGCTGACGAGTCCCAAATAGGACGAAACGTGCTTCCTGGATTCTTCTGCTGGCCACAACCAAGTCAAGTACCCAATCTAATTACCTCTAAATACACGTAACAATCAAAGTAATCATGGAGATTCTTCGGGGAATAATGAGTGTTTGCAATCCTTCAACTGACGAAATGTACCCACTTATTGATGAATAACAACAAGACACGTATCAGAGAAGAAGAAATATTTCTTTTCAACGACTTATCATTATCAAGTTGAACAGTCGTATTTATAATCGGTAAAATAACAGATAACTATAGTAAAAGTTGCTCAGTCAATATGCTGATCAGATTTTTATTTCACTTCAATCACCAAGGATTTTGCCCGACTACCACATGAATCCATGATGCGTTTCTTTCGCTCGATCGTACTTACACTATCCAGTCAGAACTTCTCATCCCAATTCATATCTAACTGAATTAGAGAGGGGGAGCATCATTTTGACAATCTGGGATGGCCTATGTGTTTGACATCACTTTCAAGTACTCGACCGTGCAACACCAATCTCAACATCCATGTTGTATGCATGCACGTTAATGAATTATTTTTTGGATATTCTAAGTGTTTATTGGAGTGAGAAAAGTCTTCCTACTATCACCTATCATCTTCCTGATTCTGGTCGACTGGATCATGCAAAAAACTGTGAGGAGCGAGAAGAGTGGCATACGCTGTACCGACGAAAACACCCTAGAAGATTTCGATTCCGCTCATGATGATTTATGCCTAATGTCTTGTCGCACAAACTCGAAAATCTAAAGACAAAAACCAACAAGTTGACAGAAGAATCAGCGAAGCAGGTGAACGTGGAGAAGACAGAGGTGATGAAGATACCCAACCACCACCACCCCCAACAACAACAACAACAAGCACCAATCACCATCAACGAGAGAAGCCAAGCCTAAAGGAAGTAGTCTCTTTCACCTACCTAGGCAGCATCGTTTCGACTACAGGCGGCTCAGGCACAGATGGGGACGTTAAGGCCAAAATCGAAAAGACAGCAAGACGGGCCTTCATTAACTTGAAGTCAGTGTGGAGATCTACTGCACTCAGCATAGAGCGTGAACAAGATCCGGATTCTCAACACTAATGTCAATTAAGTCAGTGCTTCTATGTGTTGGTTGAGAGACTGGGCGCGTTACGAAAGGGATTTCCAACAAACTGCAGACATTCAGCAACAACTGCCTACGCTCGTTACTGAAAATCAGATGGTCAGAAAGAATAAGCAACAAGGAACTCTGATCTGGCCACGAACCAACCAGAACCTTTTGCTCAACAAATATGCAGAAGAGAGTGGAGATGGATTGGACTGGGCATACACTGAGAAGACGGTTTGGGGACATGACGCGTCAGGCTAGGCCAGGTTGTCTAGTCGAAGGCAAGTGGGAAACGACTAGTTGGGCGTCCGAGGCGAGGATGACATGGAGGAGATAGTGTGAGGAAGAAATGAAAGCTTGTGGGCAGTGATGGAGCCAGGTTGAAAAGACTGTAGAGAGGAGGGTGAAATGTCGACGTGCTACTGAAGCCGTATGTTCCACTAGGAACCCAAGGGACAAATAATAATAATTATCGACTGTTTCTACACTGACAGACTGAAATGATATGAAGTTGGCTCTAAGTGAGCCGTTCTACATATAGTTAAAATATCTCCTACAACAGAAAAAAATGAAAAAAAATTGAGAAAATACACTGACATCATTCGAATTATCTTGAAGAAGATGAGGCTTCATCATAAAAAAAAGAAGAGTTCAAACATGACAAAAGTTATAACTGAAAATTATTGTGAATTATAAAGAAACTCCAAAATACATATCAACTGAAAAGTATCGATTATTTATCAAGAGTAAAAGTAACCTGTTTAACTGAATCTTTGTGCCCTTATTGTTGCTTTGAATTAGGATACAGTATATCATAATGCCCTGGTCTGTACAATAATGTAACTGGAGGATTATCTTTATAACTGACAATAAATGATTCATGTTCATCTGATACTTGTCCACTGCCGTCGGTTTTATCGCTTTCTTTGTCTGCATCCATTAGATCACTGTGTGCAGGAAATTCTATACGATTTAGTTCACCTGATTGTTGACAATTTTCCACGTAAATAGGCAATTCTACAGCTAATGCTAACGCAGCTATATGAATATTGTCTGATTCACGAGCCATTGGTTCAACTTCCTGTCAAATAAGGTGGAATAGAAAAAGAAGAAGGTAAGCCATCATCATCATTATCAATCAAAGTTAAACAATTTATTCCTATCGACAAACAACAGGATACTCCATAAAATGAAACATACATCATGCAGATAGTAAAGATAATGATAGAAATCCTAGGTGGCAAAGAACAGACTTGTTCAATTCTTTTTAAATACACATGTTGCATCACCAACAGAGTTCGAATTCGCACAAAATCAGTCCCAGTAATAATACAAGTTACTATTATTTGTCCCTTGGGTTCCTAGTGGAACATACGGCTTCAGTAGCACGTCGACATTTCACCCTCCTCTCTACAGTCTTTTCAACCTGGCTCCATCACTGCCCACAAGCTTTCATTTCTTCCTCACACTATCTCCTCCATGTCATCCTCGCCTCGGACGCCCAACTAGTCGTTTCCCACTTGCCTTCGACTAGACAACCTGGCCTAGCCTGACGCGTCATGTCCCCAAACCGTCTTCTCAGTGTATGCCCAGTCCAATCCATCTCCACTCTCTTCTGCATATTTGTTGAGCAAAAGGTTCTGGTTGGTTCGTGGCCAGATCAGAATTCCTTGTTGCTTATTCTTTCTGACCATCTGATTTTCAGTAACGAGCGTAGGCAGTTGTTGCTGAATGTCTGCAGTTTGTTGGAAATCCCTTTCGTAACGCGCCCAGTCTCTCAACCAACACATAGAAGCACTGACTTAATTGACATTAGTGTTGAGAATCCGGATCTTGTTCACGCTCTATGCTGAGTGCAGTAGATCTCCACACTGACTTCAAGTTAATGAAGGCCCGTCTTGCTGTCTTTTCGATTTTGGCCTTAACGTCCCCATCTGTGCCTGAGCCGCCTGTAGTCGAAACGATGCTGCCTAGGTAGGTGAAAGAGACTACTTCCTTTAGGCTTGGCTTCTCTCGTTGATGGTGATTGGTGCTTGTTGTTGTTGTTGTTGGGGTGGTGGTGGTTGGGTATCTTCATCACCTCTGTCTTCTCCACGTTCACCTGCTTCGCTGATTCTTCTGTCAACTTGTTGGTTTTTGTCTTTAGATTTTCGAGTTTGTGCGACAAGACATTAGGCATAAATCATCATGAGCGGAATTGAAATCTTCTAGGGTGTTTTCGTCGGTACAGCGTATGCCACTCTTCTCGCTCCTCACAGTTTTTTGCATGATCCAGTCGACCAGAATCAGGAAGATGATAGGTGATAGTGGGTAGCCTTCTCATACTCATGTCTTCACTTTAAAGGCGTCACTGATCTTTACATTGTGAATTAATTGGCATGTGGCGACAAATAGTAAGCTGTAAATTAAGTATAAATGCATGTTTGCTATAGTTTTTTCCATGGGATTAGTTTTCAGGTTGGTATTCATCATGGACTGATATCGGTTGGAGGGACATTGGGAGCTTGGGAGCACTGGACAGCTGTTTCTTTCCAGTATGGGAATTCTCAACAGTGCACACTCATGACCCCACCCACCAGGGCTCGAACCCAGGACCTTCAGGTTCCGTGGCTAGCATACTACCATTGAGTCAGAATTCAATGGTCCATATTTGCAACTTCTGTCAGTTAACGACATAGCGCGACCATCACTCAATGTCATCGTTGAGTATTTGTCCTCACAGCGACTTGGTTTGCTCCACCGGTCACGACTTTTCATTAGAAATTCAGGAACCACTTATTACTTTTCTATCTGCATTACATGAATCTAACGATTATAAAAAGCCGTGTAACCGGTTAACTTGGGTTCAGCACATCGATATTTAGTCAAAGCAATACTAAACTCTGCATTGCTGAGATATACATGCGTTTAAACTCCAGTTTCACTAGCTAGATTATATCAGTAGCTTATGTACAACAGAGAAATAGACTATATGCCTGAAATATGATTTATTGACTTGAAGAACAAACACAACACACTTTATATTCTATTTGCTTGACACTTTTATTACTGATTTGACAATATTAAGTTTTTCATTCGTACCAATAAATCTATACGGAAGTAACCACTGTATAAACACTGAAGATTCCTTTACATCTCATATCACATAAATGATAAGCTATTTCCGTTCTGGATAAGAAAAAGCCTCGTAGTCAACAGATAAAAGGTCTCACGCCTATTTCGAACTGTCGAAGCTGTCACTGTCCGAAGAGTTCAACCTCAACGGATGTATTCATCAAAAGGAGACAGTTAACAATTTATTATTGCCCTGATAATTTAGTAACTTTTCATTCCCTAATCTTTTCCAAAATAATAGTTTGTGCTGATTCATATTCAGATTGACTAATACTTAAGATTTGATAACAACAAGATAGTTGTTGTGCAATAACGAATGCATATGCATAATCCAGGCTAACAGAAATCATCAGTCATGGAGTGAATAGCCTAGTCACTTGATTTTAGCACACTCAGCGAGGTATATTCTCACTGTTTAAGTAAATATAAGTTTCCTCAGGATTGCAGTCACACATTGTTGACGAGTGATAACAAGTATACATCATGGACTCGAAACCTTCTGTCGAATAACTATTATTATCTTACTCCAAAGTGTAATAGTCTTTGAGAATGCTTGAAGCTTGTTGCATTAAAGTTGTTCCAATCCCGTCTAATCTATCTTCAAGAATGACTGTTCATAATATCTGTAAAAATAATAATAAACTTACCGTTTCACAGAACTGATTAATAGTTTTACCTTCATCGATAAAATTTACAAAATATGTAGCTTTCTTTTGAATATATGCGGAGACTAAAAGTCTATAAAAACAGCGGAGAAAAAAGAGAGAGAAGGTGTAAAGTTCTAGAAAAAAAATGGAAAATTTAACGCAAACAATATTTTTGAGACTACCACACTAGATATTACAGATTTGTAGACCACTCAAGAATGACACCAGACTATATTAACGAATCTATAACCTAATGGAAATGGTAATCACTCTTTGAGATCCACATTTTGGTGAACAGATCTCTTCCCAAAAACTTATTTTCACGCTTTATATTCATTTACACACATAAATTATGCGTGAAAAACTATTTTCTATGAGCGCGTTTAAACAACGGATAATAATAATAATTTCAACGTTAAGAGTTGAATGATAATGAAGGGGGTTACGAATCATCCATAGGATACACATAACTTGAAAAGTGGTGTAAAAATGATAGAACTAGTGAATAAACAAAGCATTAGGCGACAAGAATGAGAAAAATTCGTTAAAATAAACTCAAGTTCTCCTAGATCACTGAAATTATTAGAAAAGTTAGATGAAATAACACCAGAAATGGTTGAAAATAGTCCTAAATATAAGGAGAATTTTAAGATTAAACTAAAGAGATTTGATGAGTATGCAAACATCAGGGTTTTTAGTAATCGATAGCAGTTGAGAAGCTCAGGAAATCTGCCTTAAGGCTAACTTCATTCCTTCAAATTCACTTTTTTTTTTACCTTTTCCAAACAATGACTGACAGTTCATTCTTTCTCTCTTTCAACGTTTTTCTTTTAATGACTAACATCATTTTAAATGCATCGATATTCATTGTTTTGAGCAACTTAGCAACCTATGTATCGATAGACTAACCTATTTTACACTTTATCTGTAAGTGTAAATGCTACAAACAAATCTTGAAAGAATGTTTAAGCTTTGTAATCCCACCAAATACTCTGTAACGGTAATGATAAGCCTGACATCAGGTGAAATTCTACTGTACAAAAAAACATAACAAGTCGGTTTATTTTGATAAGGTAGGACAGTTAAACTGAGTTATTGTTCAAAAGTTTGTACTGAGGGTCTCGAGTTTCACTTTCAAAGATCATGCATGGGTGCGGCTAAGTAGTCAAAGAACAGTGAAAACCACTTTCAAACCAACAGACACATTAATGATGGATCGTGGCTAGCAGTGGAATCCAGAATGTGCATTTCGTCCTATTTGGGACTCGTCAGTTGGATGTACCTGCTTCCTAGTGAGTGATGTCGTTCCCACCGGGACTCGGGAGGGATCGCTTCAAACGCCAGGGCGTTATCCACTACACCATCGAGCCACGATAGCCACTTCTTGTGCGACGGGTGTAGTTTTAGTATAATTGCTTTTATATGATACCATCCTGGATTCCACTGCTAGCCACGATCCATTATTCATACAATTATAACGCAGGCAATATCGAGGCATCCGCACAGGAGCCCATATGTCAATAGAGGTCGATCAATTCGGTCCAAGCAACGACGGTATCATTTAAAAACAATTATACTGACAGACATATGTTAATATTACTTTAAACTTCGGTACAACTGTAAAAACAATTTAACTTTTCATTCGCATAGTTTACATACAAAAGAATGTTTTAGAGGTTAGACAATGAGGGAAAATATCGTCATAGCTCACCTTAAAAATACTACATAATAGTCTGAATAAGCCTGATCATTGAATACTTCCTCTAGTTCTTCCAACGTCCCACCATCCAATGTAAACCGATCCACCATACTAACAAACTGTCATCATAAGGAAGAAATAAATAAAAACAAGTTAAAAACAGTTAGTGAAGAATTATCTGTTCTTTCATAAACTAACAATCTGTATAAAACTGATATGAATCCCCAGTTTTCTAAGAAAAACACATACATTTGTTATTTTGACAACTTTATTACCTACAAAGTTGATTAGCCATTGGAAATTAGATTACGAAATACGTTGAGAGTCTTAAACACATGCAATCATCTTATTTCCCATATAATCTATTCATTTAGGCTTGTTTGTATAAAAAAGTAAACATGATAATTAGTTCAGCATTGAACTACTCGTTTTGCAGTGAATATAATATAATCAATTAAACGATAGTTAAAAATCTATAACAGGAAACCATGAGATCCTAAAAATCCGCAACAGTGGAAGTTAAGACGTATGTATTGCAGTAGCTATGAAGAGGCTCATCGAAACCGGTATAAATGGAGTTTGGATCTTTATTGTAACCAATAAGATCGGAGTGCTAGGATAGCTAGATTACAGTTTTAGAATAAAACATATGCATTTCTTTATCCATCCTACGTCAAAAAGACTAACTTATCTCAAGTTCTGGTCACAAATATTTCTTTACAACAGCCCTCTACCTATTATTTTCTATATTTCTTTACTCAATTTTGGTGTGATTTGAGGATGTGAATGAACTAAGACTACTTAGATTCCATGCTGGCGTTTTGTTGTGCCAACCAACTTCAGCAAAGTTTTCATACACTTCTTGTCTTTCAACATTAACAGCAAAATCCTACTGTTATCAAAAATTTCGTTTATGCTCTAAGATAGTATTAGCAGTAGTAGTGGTAGGATAGTCTAGAAGTGTTAAACATAAAAATCATCCTGTGACTGAAATATTTATTCAGAAAGTATGAGACAAGAGAAATTAGACAATTAGTAATTCACCTGTTCGTGAAAATCTTCCACAGTGAACTGTGTATAGCCATTTGCAATCAGTGTATCTTTACACTCGTCACATTTCTTCTTCAGTCTAAAATAAGATGCACACTAATTCAACTGAATGAAAGTGTATTTAGTTTAAATTTAATGTGAAATAATTATACGAGATTAATATAAAGCCAAAAGCCTGTTTTCATTTCAGCTAGTGTGAACTAGCAGGATGAATGTAGCACCCCGTAGAAGATACATCCTATCTCTGTGTAAGATTTAAATCAACCTTATTCTTTGCCGATTTCGAATGTAACTCAAGATACTGACCAGCATAGATGGTAATTGTGTTGCCCTTGTCAACAACTGGAAACAGTTAATATTGTCCACGTAGAGTGGTATCTATCAAGGATGTTTGTTTTATTTCTGTTCACTTACCAAACGCGTACTTATGAAGATATTTCTCTTGTTGTCTGACTTTACAGATATTGGTCTTATAGCACGAGACTCCTTAAAACAGTAATCCCGTTATACAGTCCTGTTAAGTTAAGATGCTAACAAGATGCAGTCTTCTCAATACATTGAATGACAATTTGAAAATGTTTGATAAACGTCTTGAGTGTAAGTTGTTGTTTTGGGACTAGTTAATCTTCCTATTGTTTTTAACTCCCTTCTTTTCTCTTTTTATTGGCTTCCTACGACTCTTGATGATATTATTTCTATTCTGTCTTTCATTTTGTAGATCTATGCTTTGACTGGATGACACAAGGTGTAGCAGCTTGAACTGTCATACAGTAGGATTAGGTCCCATGTTGACACTTATTGACTCACTGAAAGATAACTAACAAATTTGGGTTAACACTTTAAGTAAACTACCATAAAGTGCATAAACAAGATATAGGCACTGTCATTAATTAGCTTACTCAGTTCGACTCATTCTACTGATTTAGCTTAAAACGACAGGAAAAGTAAACGTATTACATAAAAGAGCAGCAACACGAAGGCTCAGATCACATAAGAAGTCATCTAACATCGCTGAGTTGGTTTTCTACTTTGTCTACAGTTTTATTGAAGTTCATGATATGTATCTCTGTCATGCAATTTTACGATAGTTTTTAGCAAAAAATAGAAAACAGTCATTGTGATACGAGATATAGCAATTATTAGAAGAAAAGTTTGATAATAATTGAAAACATAGTCAGTGCATCTGTGACTACTATTGATGAATCAGGTGTTCTCTCATTTTAGACATCCCGATAGGTTTAGCGAAAGCTACAACTTAAGATGTAAGTAGCTAAAAACGACATACCAACTATTTTTACACAGATTATACCATTTTCAATGATTTTTAAAATACTAAGTTTGTTCTCTATTAATCTCAGAAATCTGCTTATGTAAGCAGCTTCTTATTACTGAGAACGGATGGGTGTCCAATGATGCTTATGAACTTCCCTAAGTGTCCTGGTAGTCCATTATTGAATGTCGTTTACCTCAGGCAGAACCATATTAAATGATGCATAAACCCAAATATTAGTGAATCAAGAGAATGTCACTTCGCACTTGTATTCTGAACATCATACGTTACTAAGTGTCGGTATGTAGTTTGAAGAAAAATGTCAAACATGTGACAGAATTTACATCAAACACTTTCTTGTGCTACCGATCCGGAACTTTGACAAAAAAAATGGGATGGGGGACTAAACGGAGCCTTTCAGTAACACTGTGGGCAAGTATCCAAACATTTCTAAAGTTTCATAAATAGCACAAAACAACAAACCTGCCAGCTTCTTTTATATGCTTTCCATTCAGCAAGTGTTCTATGTACGCGAAACCGAATGCTCGGTAAAAACAATTACCGTCGCGCCTTAGTCGACGAATTCCATGGTAATTCTGTTTCATGAGCTGTTGAAAAATAAAGAGAACGTAAAATAATGAAAATGATCGCAAATGGCATTTATACAACACTAAATAGTTATCTGCACTTCCGATATTGCAAATAAAAAACCCAATGATCTACGATACAGTAGGGAAGATAGTGTCACAAGTTTGGGTTTCAGTCTATAGACATGAGATAAGTCATTGGGGGTAATACTTGTAGCGCCTACAAGATTTTGGGGGTCATTGTTTAGAACATAAAGCAGCGCATGGCTACTAAGTTTTCTACAAAAAGGTTCCGAACCCTATGTATCACAAGCATAATTTAAAATATGTGAATATCATCAGCAACATGGGGAGCTTGTCTGTTTTTCGTCGCTTTAAAGGCCTTCGGTTTTGTCATTTTCTGGAGTGCACAAAAGCAACTAGGGGACACAGAGTAGGCTACCGTTCAAACTTCATACTGACATGGTTTTCCAACATGAAAAATAACAGTTATCAAATGTCATACTGATACTGTTACATCGTGAAAACAGACGTACGTAGAAATTAATTCTGAATTACCAACTCAAACATGTGAAAAGTTTAAGTAATCCCAGTTTTTAGCCAAAAGTTTTCCAAAGAATACATTTTATTTGTATCTGCAAACAATAAGAACGATGACTAGGCTTTCAAGACTGAGAATTTAGAATAACTGGAATAGAGTACAATCATGGGATTCTTTTCGATGAAAGATAGGGAGTTGAGATGAAAAACAAAGCAATCATGTAGCTTGAACACTTTGGCCAAGTTGAACAGGAAACTATAGTGAGTTGAAAAGGTGAAGTAATATTGCTAATGAACCATTTTTTCTACTCACCCAATGATGGGAAAGAGGAAATGTGTTTACAGCCTATCGCTTAATATTACCTGTGATCTCCGAATAGATAGAGTTAAATACATGGTACCAAACCCGATAATGCAGTTAACTTCACTAATACTGAACAGTCTGAGAGTGTTGTGGTCATATTTTTCCCCACTTCCTTCATTTGAAGATTTTTGTGCTGCTAGGATGCATGACAAGTAAAGATATCGTACATACCCATACGTTTTTTCTGATTTAGCAAATTAAGTTATTAAAATCGGATTAACAAACAAGAAACTCGCTGTTTGTTCTCTACCATATATGAGATTACAGAGCGTTATACGACTTGGGTTTTATGGGTGGTATTGTTAACAACCTAGAGAATTACTGCCAGAATTTCACATAATGCACCAAAATTATCATTCAATTAACAAACCTTTTGGGAAGGAACGAAGTACTTTCGGGTTAGGATAGTGATTCTCAACAAAGTGATACCGTTTTATAATAATGATTAATTTACGGGTGGAATCCAAACGGAAAACGTTAGAAATGCAGTATCATCCCTCTTGTTTCAAGATTCATTCCCTCTTACTCCCTTTTACCCAGTCAACAACTGTACAAGACCAACATCATTAACCTGAGGTCATTCTAAGAATCCAATACCCAGCTAACATTTCCGTATACACAAAAGTAGACTTAAGATACATTAACTTCAGTGTATCTGCTAAAAGTAAGTGACACTTAGTATAGTCGATTGGTGATGAATTTTATTCATTATGGCACCGAAACTTTCCTTATGTAGCTCTCAACTCTTTTTTGCATATATGAAAACCTCATGAGACCTAAGTTCACTAGAATACACCCGAAGGCAAACATGAAGCAAGTGGCTCAAACTAGCTCGTTATCCAGATACGAGATTGGGGATTTCCACACCTATTTATCTGCTACTTGTAAGTACGTAGCAACCATGAATGTAATATGAATATATGGGTTAGGAGAATCGAAGCATTTTGACAAGTTAGCACACTAATTTAAACTAAGATATGCCTTTAATTATACACTTCGCTATTAATGCACAGATGACGGTTATGTGTTGTGTAAGCAGTTGGCATCAGGTGCGACACCTGAAGACCATTTATTTGACTCCAGTGGCGGGTTAGGTTGCCTTTTGATATGTTGATAGACTTGTTATTATACCTGTTAGACCAACGGCTGCTGAATGGATAGGTGGTTCCATACCAGTCACTTTCATCCTAAACTGTGTACCGAAGTATTCACCTGAATTCTGAGCAAGTTTGAAACGTGTCATATAAGCAGGAAACTTATTGATAAATAGGATTATAGTTTTATTTGCTGAAACTAAGTAATTATAACTGCCTAGTTTTTTAGCAATGCAATCTTAGTCTTAGGTTCCTGCAACAGCATAATTCACACAATATAAAAATGCTAACAGAAATACTAAGCAGTTTGAAAAATGAGTCAACATCACTTCTTCCCATAGGCATTTTATGGGCAAATAAATGGCTAACTTTTAGTTAAGCTGGGAAAAAAGCTCAATATTGTGGCACTGCAATTCAAGTGAATGTTGTCATAACCATAGGATTAGGGGTAGTTTCGCTGTTGTTGTTGTTGACTGGGTGAACACACCTACAAGATACGCCACCCCACTATATAACACCTGAAGAGAATCACAAGAAGGACATTTTTACAACTCAGGGGAGAAATTTTGGAGAATCTAACCTTTAGCTTTTCCAGATATACAGTATGGCCAGAGAAATCCTCATCGAGTGTCGAAAGCGGAAGGATAGGAGATATTAGACACGTAGATTTCATCTAAGAAGTAAATGAGAATTCCACAGAATTACATCCTTCTCAATTGCCTCTTGTTGAGCCTGGATAGCTTCATCAGTATTTTCATCTATAGGACTAGGTAAAGTTTCTGTTGATTTGGTGTAGATACCATTTAAAAGCGAACAAACCTATACCCATTGGCGGCAAAACCAACCTCCCGCCGAATAGACGACCTTCGAAAACAATGAGGAAAATGAATAACTATAGAGTTGTTTTTATGTCGCGAGATATTTTGCTGTCTGGGTCCTCTAATAGTCTAATTTGCCTTTGTAGTCTCATTTTTAGTTCAACACTTCACAGTCCAAAGACCTTTGAGACTGAAGCATATTTTTATTAATTGCAGTATATTGGACTCAGCATTTTGAATAACCTGTGCTTTTTCATGGAGTAACAACCAAGTTGGAAGTTCCTGAGGCTCTGATTATGTGGCAGTAGAGTTTAATCTTCAGTGTGAAGGTTTCGCCCCCATCTATTTCTAATCAGTGTACTCCGAGAAACAAGAGTATTGGCCGACCACTGTAGACGAAGTAGGCTAGAAACTACCCGAGAAAAGTCTACATGACGAACATTCCGTCACATGACTCCAAGATGGATGTCTAACGTTCATTAAAGTTATTTGGCGATGAAGCTGTAACTGCGTCATAAGAAGGGCAGCCCAGCACCTTACATGTTTCTACCGGAAAGGAGTTCGCAGAAATTTTGGTGAGGGCTTGACTATAGGGGAGTCTGATAGGATTGTCCCACAGGTTGGATTTTGACTTGAACTCTCTTCTAAAGAAGAAAGTGGCTTTTTAACAGATTTGCGTCCTGGTCCAGCATGTGCCTCAAAGTATTTTAACTCCCATTCCTCAGATTTTATGGCTACTGTAGCTATCTCCACAAAGTAGTTTAACCAGTCGGGTTTACTACAAGTTTATTACCAGTCCCTTCCCCTCAGTTGAAAGTTGTCTTATTTATATTGAGTGGCTAAACTTTCCTCTGAATTTTTTTCGACCTAATCTTCATTTTGGGGGGCCACCTAATGCTTTACGTGTCGCAGAAACGTCGGAGGCTCTGCTACAGCGATGGGATGCTGGCTACGCTCCCAATTGACTCACTGTCCACATAATACCAGCCAGCGTTCCCGTTATTGCTAGGGTGCCGGAAAGCCAGTTCAGTGCCGGCTGCTTTGTATCTCGACATTGTCAAAAAAGGGTGGTAGAATGTGGAGCTGTTATCATTCAAAATCTTAAGCTTCTAAGTAGGCTGAATTAAGCAAGAAAACGCCACTTATACCCAGACCTCTACTCAAGGTACAGAACTACTCCATGCAAAGAGGGAACTGGCATTCAACCACGAGGTACGCAGCACAGGAATCATAGATAGTGGGGAGCGAAATACCCGGCCCCCACCCGCTGCGCAAAGTAGTAATTCATTTGCAAACCTATCCTGGACATATTCGCCGGTTTCTTTTCATATTAGCTGGGGTCAATTTTCGCATCGATTGAAGAGATTTTAAAGAGTAACCGCGGAACAGGATCTTCAGGTCGTTATTCTGTTTGAGAAACTACCTACTAGTGAGATCTGAAATCATCAAAGCTCTCTCGGGGATTCTTAAAAACATGTGATCACTGGCGGTGGAAAATACCTCAAACTCACTCCCTCTGATAGGTAGGAGACCACGTCACCCAGTGCTCAACCAGAGACCTTTCCGCTGCGCCCATCAGATCGTTATTGACCTCACGTGTGCTTTGAGTGGGTAAATTCGTCATGATGTATTGTGCAAGACAAAATTAGGTTGTATAGGTATATTTGTGCTTCACACAAGTTCTAATGTTATTTTTGTCCATTAAGAAATGGAATTTGTGGAGTGAGTGAACTAGTGTGGAGGTGTGTGAATGGGAAATGTAGTGGCTGTCATGTAGAGGTTGTTTATAAGACATCAAACAAGCCGGAACAGCAGGTGAAAATAGTGTCTCTGAAGCTCGGCAATAGCATCAGCGGAAGATTTGGCCCACGCGTCACCGATAACTATTTTCAAATCGTCTAGAGTTCGTGGCACTAAAGGGGCTCAAGGTCTTGATGTAGGATTCCTTAGAATAATAAAGGAACACGAAACCAGCGGGACGTGAAGCAGTGATGTGTCTGCGTTGGGGGTGGGAAGTGGGTTCTAATAATAAGCGAGGCGAGTTTTGAGATATTTGGACTGGATATGAGTGATTCGACTGTTCCCCTCATACTTGATGCTTCACTGAGCCGCGAAAATCAGGAGACAAAGGGCAGGCCTATGGCTGACCCAAGGAAAAGCGGTTTTGATCGACAAAAGCATTGTTTTTATATAAAGCTACTGCGCATGCAATGAAGCCATTAGGTCACTAATCAGGTGAACATAAATCAAGGTCTGAAAAGAAAATATTTTCATCCTGACGGCTAATGACCTTGACTGGCGACTTCCACTTTTGATCACTTAGTATCAGGGAGGAAAACTGGCCGAGACTTACGTGAGAAGCATTCAGACCTATTTTGAAAAAGGATTACGTAGCTCTTCACCGAGTGGCCCTGATGAGTGTAGTGGTTTTGATCAAGCCTTTTTAATGTTGCATCTTGATACATTCCTGAGCGCCGGTGCGCTTAGTGGTTAGGAATAACAGCTAGGACTAGATTAGATTGGTAGCTGACATTCGGTGTCCAAAAACACATCCGTAGTAATCACATGTCTTGAAACCACTGGTGTAGCAAAAGGTTTAGATGACAGCCGAACTAAAGACAGTGGGAAGTTGCCGGAAATATAAAACAGAACCATTAGACCGCAGCGTGACGAGTGCTGCATAGTCGCATGGAACGCTTTAAAATCCCCCTATTGAACGTGTAAAATTTTGAAAGCCCTGTTATATTTGGATTTGGTAGCATTTTTGCTGGCGTGGTCACAAGATAATCTCAATGAAACTTTAGCTGGGTAAGAAACATTAGAGAGGAAGGTCCTGAGTTAGGGGGCCGTTGAGTTTGAGGTAAGGAAAGCAGATGTGATGTCACTGCAGACGAATTCGTCAAAGCCTTTTTAGAGGGTTATGATTAGGTCATGAGTACTAGAGAAATGTTCAGACGACCCTCGAGGAACCACCATTCTTTGAAAGAGGTAGTCATCACTCGTATACATGAAAGGGGAACACACACGACTTCAAGCTACAGACTGGTCTCCATTATCTCATCTTCTGAAGGGATCATGAAAGCGGTGCTGAACGAGTCTCATAGAATCCATTTGTTGAAGATTCAGTATTCCGTGACTTGCAGCAGGCATTCACATATGTCGGATCGGGGAACATTGGCGAGCTGCAGGATCATGGCTGCAAAATTCAAACCAAAAAAAGGAAAGTCACAATCATACAAGGCTACTCCATGCACCTACAAATAATTAGGCAAATCAGGAGAAGAAGGAGGAATTCTATGAACAACTGCAATCATTATTGTACAGGACCTCACCCCAGTTGGCGACATCAAAATTCTAATGGGTGACATGAATGTCGAACTGGGGATGGACAACACTGGAAGGGGACCAGTCAAGGGTCGATAAGCACTCAGTAAAAAGAAAGAGAATGGAGAACTGTTCACAGACTTCTGCACATTCAATGAGTTGGTGGTCGGAGGGACCGTGTACAAACACAAGAAATTCACAAGGGGACATGGATTTGGTTTCACCAGATGGATACATTAAGAGTCAGATCGACTTCATCTCAATGTAAAGAAAGTGGAGATGCAGCCTACTGGACACAGGACCAAGAAGAGGAATGGATGTAGGTTCACACCAATCACTATCTAGGGCAAGAAACCCACCTTCAAAATCGGGCTGAAAGCTTCTAAAGAAGTTGGTGATAAACTACAGTCCAAGTTCAAAGCCCGGAACAGTAACTGAAGGACAAAACTACGAAGGACATCTTCACGTCAGTCGGCCATCAGGACAAAATGGGAGATACTGAGTAAACCCCCTGGAGTAACCGGCATGGAAGGACACTGGGACTGTTTGAAAGAGATGTTGAGAGAGATCTGCATATCCGTGTTAGGAAGGAAGAAGAAACAAGATAAGGAATGGATCTCGACGGTCACATAGAAGCTGGGAGAGGAGGAAGAGGAGGGTGGTGAGGCAGAAGATGAACCAGTGCAGTGGAGGGATGAACAAAGGAAGGGGGAAGTGAGTACAGCATATAAAACACTGGAGAATGGAGTGAAGAAGGGAGCACGGGAAGACAAAAGACACTTCTACGGCATATTGGCGAGTGAAGCAGAACAGACTGCATGTAGGAGAGGCAGAGACCTGACAACATTGTATCAAATAACCAGGTTACTCTCTGGGAAGAGATCAACACGGCGCAGATGAAATCAGTGAAAGATAGTGAAGGAAGCTTAGTCACAAAAGAGGGGGAACAAAGGAAACAATGGGCCTCAAAAACTCTTTGATCGACCGCCACCACCATCCGCAACTCGTCCAGAAATACCAACGGCAACTTGCCCAGCCACAGAACTGTCAGTGAACACAAGCCTTCCGACAAAAGCGGAAGTAAAGTCTCAAACATCATACAGTTACTGAAACTCAAAAAAGCAGCAGGGCCAAATGGAAGTCCCCCAGAAGCACTGAAAACAGGCGCGGAGACAACAGTGAACATGCCCACCCCACTAATGCAGAAGGTTTGGGAGGAGGGAAGGAAAGTTACCTGCCGACTGGAAAGAGGGCTACCTCCTCAAACTCCCAACGAAGGGTGACTTAAGCCTTGGCAAGAACTGGCGCGGAATCATGCTTCTGTCCGCCCCAGGCTGAACACTAGGCCGCATCATCATGGAGAGACTCAAAAATGCTCTGAGATCACAATTCCGACTGAAACATGTTGGCTGGCTGGCTTCAGTAAGGGCAAATCATGTGCGGATCAAATTGCGACGCTACCCATCATCATAGAACAGAGTACAGAATGGTGGTCAGCTAGATCTTTACGTCACCTTCACCGACTTTGAGAAGGCCTTCAACGGCGTCGACTAGCAGGTAATCTGGTGGACAGCCCCTTCAACACTACAGTTTAGTGCCACAAACTTTAATCAGCCTTAGTTGACAGCCATACGAAGACGCCACATACCAAGTGGTGCACAATGGAAGGCCCGGTGGCGCCTTTGAA